AGAAACCTTTCCAATGAAATGAAAAATAAAAAAAAAGCTTGTTGCCAAAATGTTGGCTTAAAGGTCATCTCGATTGGCGAATGCAACCCACATATGAGCTGCATGGGTTTCAGTGTGTTAATCTTCTCATACTACTAACTTTCCCTTGATCTCCGTGAGAAATCAGGTGCACGAACATCTTGCTGACTATCAATATGACTTTCTTCATTGAGCGTCACATGACAAGGTTTGTTGCTGACTTGTTATCGAGAGGTGATTAGTTATTCGCATCGCATCGTATTTTTGCCCCGAACGCTGAGCGCTACCTGCTTCGAACCTCCCACTGTTCCACAAACATTACGTCTTTATTCGTTCCGTCACTCAACTTGTCCCAAGCTATATGGTTATTTCAAACTTGGATACAGATGCTTTTCTTGATTTCACAAATTCGGCGGCCAGCTATTACATGAGATGTCTCTCCGACGATGTGACGGTGATATCTCCCTCGACTACTTGACTTCTTACACATATATTATTTGTTCTTTTGATCAGTAAATCTATTTTGCACTATCTATTTTGCAATACTTATTGCTTAACTTGATGGAAAAGGTCAACCACCTATTTTTCGGCTTGCAGAATTTTTTTTTATTTATTTTTAGAGCTTCCCAGTTTTCTTTGGCTTTTCTTACTGAGGAAATTTTTGTAGGTGTCGTCAGACCCTGGCAAGGAACTCTCAACATCAATTTTCTACGATGTCGTGCAGGCTTTGGTGGCTCTTTGGACCTGCGTCTTCTCACTTCTCTACTCTTATGCCTGGCGTCAGCATAGAAAGAAGTTCATCCTGAGCATTGTAAGTTTTTTTTTGGAAAATTGACTTTAGTTCAACCATTAAGTTGATAAGCTTTTTGGAAAATCAAAATTTTTACCTCCAGTCAGTTCCATCTTTTCTAATATCTTGACGAAATAACCTTCAATTGCCAACACAATGAATTAGCTTGTGTTGAAACGTTTAGCGCTGAAACAAGGTCGAATGTTCATTTCGAAAATCTCAAGGAAAAGTCGATTTTTGAATGGGGGAATCGGTTTTGAAGTTTCGGACGGAGGTCATGGTTCCTGTAGAAACGTGCGTTACGTTCGAATTTTTGCATACATTTTGCCGTTCAAAATTATTCAGGAATTTCATGACGGAGTTGTTGTGGTAAAACGGGTTCAAGTTGAGATTCAGTTTCTTTGAATTTTTGAGTTTCGTTACGCCTTACTACCATTGACCTATGCAGATAGCAGCAGTTAACTTTTGAGCTTGAAGGCGTGAAATGCTTTTTGTGTTGTCAGCTATTTTTTCGCTGCAGTTTTCGCGGCGGATTTTATCACCTCAACAACAACTGGTCACAGTTGATAACAGTTTTTGAAGCATTGCTTTTTGATCTTGAGAGTTTACTTCGCTTCTGATCGAAGAATTCAGCAAGTCCAAGTCCTGTTCTTGTGAATGCTCGGTAGAGTACTTCCCATTACTCCTGTACGTTTTCTGAACAACAGGCGAAAGGCTTTCACCTTATAATAAAGGATAAAGATAAAGCATTTGCCGTTGATCAATCCCTTTTGGGATGCGGCACACTTCCATTTGTACATTCGTAGTGGCGTTTGAATGCGATGTGGCCTATACAATGACTTGCGGGGGCCAGCCGATGTACAAGTCAGTGTTTTTATCCTCCCAGACAAGTCTGGTACCAATTAACCGACCCCGGAGGGATGGAAGGCTTGGTTGGCCCGGGCGACTCACGACCCAGGATTTGATCCCCGGACCGCTCGCGTGGTGAAGCGTGCCACTTGCCACTACACCACTTCCGCCCTTCACCTTATAATGGTCATCCGAAATTTCAAGTCAATATGTGTCGCGTACATGGCGCAATCATTTCGCTGCATCTTACTTTTACTGATTTGAGGAGTGATGACATTCCATCCGCAGATATGTGTGACACTTTGAGTTCTTTGAGCTGCGTGTGGGCAGAATTACTGAGCAACAATATGTTGATGACACTTCGGCATCAATACTCACAAATCATTATCGATAGAGGGTGGAAACAGGAAAATTGATGCATCCTTGTTCCATTATGGTTTGCAGTAGTGTCATCACAACAGGAGGAAACTTGCTTCTGTTAAAGTCGGCGTTAAACACATAGGCGACAGTCGCAGTGCAAGGGTCTCAGCTTCTTTTCTAAATTTCCCATCAATTATTTCATTATTGTTAACGAGTACATATTATTTTTTTCATCGAGTTTTCAAAATTCGATAAAATACAAGGCTAGTTCAGAGTCATAGAAAAAGCAAATAAATAAAGAAAAACGGGTCTCCTCCACGCGGGGACAGCGTGACGCGCACGTCGTCTGTATGTTGCCGCTAATATGAACTTATATTTTTGAAGGGATATTGACGAGGTAGCCTTATTTTACCAGTGAGGTAGCGAATTCTTCCATTCTTCAGTTTCTTACTGGCAACGAAACTTTTTATACTGCAGCGCTTTTCAGCGTTTTCTTCGTCGTTCAACAGTATTCACAGTATGCTTGTGTAAATCTCCGGTCGCTTCCTACCGATAGTGCGTGTAGGCCCGGATGTTCATTACACACCGCATCGCCTATACAGACTTCCCGTGAATATGCTGAAAGATATGCTGAAGTCCGCAAGGTTTTGTCAATGAATTCCAGCTGTGCTGCGCCCTCAGAGCGATAAGAGAGATTATTGCAGACTCGATGGACTACGGCAAACGACAGCGTTTCGTACTCGGGAACATCGTCGGTGTCGGTGACTTCTGAAGACTACCTGCCAAAACCACTGTGCAGGCGGCACTCAGTCAGTCACAACAGCCTTTGCTCACGACCACCAAGTGTGAATCGCAAGTACAGCTATGCCTATTCCCACTATAACGCCTGTGATTCTGATCACGACGAACAGCATTAACTCCTGTTCGCCTTCCTTCCTATTTATTTCTCTTCAATTATAACTATCAATTTATCGAAATCATGTCTTTTTTCAACTGTGGCCACTAATTGTCAATGATACGTGTTCATATTGTACTCTGTATAACGTTACAAATGCCTCATTTGAATAGATTCTCTACGGGTTGAGATAGCTGAAGTTTGTCTTGTATCACACTGCTTTTGATATGTTTCTTTTCGGATGATGTATATGTGAAGGAATGAAGTAGTTCTGTAGAGACTCTTTGCTCCCTCAGCAGCAACCAGGGTGAAAATCGTGTCGAGTACGTGGTCGCAGAGGTACGACCCCCCCCCCGAAATCGAGATCCTGGCACGACCCCCTCTAACAGAGCAAATTAATTCAATTAAAATAAATCCTGCAAAACAAATCAAAAAAAATTCTGCAAAATAATGCTAAGGACGCTTCATCTTGTCATCTATGCACGTCTTCCATCGCTGCATACTTTTGTGTACATACTGAAATATCGACTCGAGGAAAGAGGCATTAACTTTGTGTGACCTCAAGGCGAGGTTCGTTCAGAAACGCACAGAAATCCTGAAGACACGGGGTTGCGATTCAATCTTGATTCTTGCTTGAGTATATCAAAACAGCCGAGTGTATCAAAGGCCGATTCAACGGCAGCTGCGGCGCGATTGTCACTGGGTCAGATTTGCCGAAATTTCAAAAAAAACGTCCGAATCTACACCCTCGATGAAAAGGTTGCATTCCTCCATTTCACAACCTTTGAAGCAGCTTGAGGTAGAGTTAGATAGAGCTGGATTTCGCGTTTCCAACAAGCATCGAAATTGCTCTGGAAGCCTTCCTTGCAGAAAGATAGGGTCTGTCAAATTTCGTCGAGTAAATGTCGAGGAGGCCCAAATTTTCACGCGAGTTTTTGCCACTTCAAGAGCAATATATCTCTTATATTGTAAGATCCTGAAAAAGGGAAGATAGTTTTGGAAAGCGGAAGGTTTGCGCTTCCTGATGGTCTGTTTAGTTTTCTTCTACAGCTTTTTGGTTGAAGAGATAATTGCGTCGAGGATCTATCGAGGTCGGATCCGGCCACCTGGAAATCCGCTCCCTCATTCACCATTGCAAGTGTGACTCGTTGGCAACACTCGGAATGTGTCTAGAACAATATCTTTGAACGCAAACAATAAGAATAGGAGCAATCGTCATCATCCGATTTGGTATTGGTATAAGCCATGCATCCCTCCTCCACTCACAGTTGCAGAATCGATTGAAAGGTGTTATATGATGGGGACCTTCGAACGAAACTGTATTGTAGTAGACATAGTGTGTTGTGCTATTCCTGTAACCTAAAAAACAACTTCATTTGCCCAGCGCTTTTTCTTCACGGTTGTCGTTTTTCCGACAGGGTCCCTAACAACAGCGTCATTCTCAGCGAGGTATTAAGGGAGAAGGAGCGAGTGATAGGCAGGAGGAGGTGCCTTTGCAGCGCGTGCGCACATGTGGCAGTCTCTTCTTTGCGGGGATGCACTTTCATTCTTTGTACTGCCTTCAAATACGCCCTTCTCATGAAGGTGGAGGAATGGAGCGACTGAACCTGCAAAGAAAATTTAATATCATGTTTTTTCGGATGTTTTCATTTTCTGCTGCGCTATACCCTATTACCTATCTGCACCATGATACCACTTCTGTTACTGACCCCCAAGAGTACGACCCCCCATGGACCAGCCCAACAGGTACGACCCCCCTGTCGAGGATTTCCTCGACCGATATTCACCCTGGTGCAACTGGTTTCAAAGCAGCTCCCTCAAAGAATCTATTCAGCTGGTGGGATAGAGTAGCCCACGAGTGTCATGGATGTGCCGCAGCCGTGGCCAGAAGGTGCGCGACAATGTCGCTAGGGGCTTACAAATCAGCTTTTGGCGACTAATCTTTGCATTTGGATGAGTTACGCCGCGCACACCCCATCACACGCAACGTGGAGTGGCCAATTCAAACACGTGCCAGTTATTTGAGCCGTGAAGGCGTGTTCGTACAACTTGCCTGGCTCCGCCTCTTCCTTATTCCAAGCAGATCCTTGTTTAGGTCTTCATCAAGGTTTTCCTTTGCTTCTTTCTTTTTCATTTTTAGTCACCCCGGCATCCGCAACTCCACTTCGACCGCTGTTACCACACGAAATCCGATCTGGGGTGTTGCCTTAGACTCCTGTGAAGGGTTCTTCAGGACGTTTCAGTATATCCAAACGTTTCCAAAACACATCGACGTACAGCGATTATCCTTCGTTTCGCCATCCATCGCGGTTTCCAAGAAATATACATTCTCACATCTTCACAGGCTACTGATAGTTGGTATAGTAAGATGAATAAAAAGAGTCAGAGAATAAAACAAAGAAATGGAATTCGCTCAAATCGGGTTGACTGAACTAATACTACCGCATAAACTCGAATGTGTAAAGACATTCAGGGTGTCATCCAGCATCGAGCGACAGTGTAGCCAATGCTTCAACGAAAACCTACTATTAAGTTGTCCAGAAAGTAATCCGTTTTGATGTGCTGTACTTTATTAGACATTCTTGCGGGAAACTTTCTCTTGATAAGCCCATTTCATTCTCTTTCTTAGACTACTATTGTTTTTAGAAGAACTCGGGGCTCAGCTTCTTCATTACCTCAGAAAAATATTGTTTACGATACAATATCTCGTAAGCACGACTGTATTTCGAATGTTTTCCAGACTGTTATGAAAGATCGTTGTTTACGATGTCTCCATAAGGGATCTCAGTCCAGGACTTAACTTGTCCAAGAGTAGCGGCACTTGAGTCTAATCCTTCGCGACCTATTGGAGGATAATATATTCGGCTGGATTCCAACAGTGCCATTTACATCGGTGTATGGTTAACGGTATCCACAGCTTGTATCAGGTAAGCTACAGGAGTTCAGCACAAGTACCATAGTTATACAGTTATCCCGCACTGGATAATCAAGGAGTATAGGGAACGCGGACGGAAGCATCAAAATAGCATATCTTCATATATCTTTTTTACAATAATCAGTTGACTTGACGGCTATCCTTATCAGTTTACGGTGGATCGAATTAATTTTGTAAAATGCTTTACGAATTTGCGTCTTTCATTCAGAGTCACCGCAACCTTGGGTCAAATTTTAGTTTGGTAAAACACCACCCTTGTTCGTCGATTTCAATTCTCATTTTCAAAACAATACATCTGCACTTCTTCGGTTGCAAAAAATTTTTGGATTTAGTGTAAACGGTGCATTTATTAGACACCAATCATGGACGATGACGGCCTATGGACACGGATTTGCATCCAGAGCCCAACGCGGGTCGTCTTTTCGGAGACACAGATATTGCGGCGATCATCGCCGCTATGAAGAATCTACCGTCAAGTTCCACTCAACAGGAACCCTCAAATTCCCCTTTTGTCAGAAAAGGATACAGCTCACAGTACGAATTCGACGTCTCAAATATTGCTCAGCTAAGCACAATCAATAGAACGGGGATGAGAATAAGAGGGCAACGATATCTAGTTCAAGTGACTAAGAATGCGATTAAAGGCAAGAATAAAACTTTGGAAATCGCTGATAAGCATCCAGGAGTTTTCTCATAGATACCAGCAAGCAGCTGAACTCCTTAGACCCATTCTTATCCGAATATCCGCAACTGATGCAGAAAAAGGAAACGGTTATCAAGAAAAGAAAGCTGTCTTCCCCAGTAAGTTTCGAGTGGCTCCTCCGAAGGATGGAGTTGACTAGGGCGCCTCGATTCCCGACCGTATAGCTCTTGCCAATGCACAGACCCTACTTCAGCATGGAGCGCCAGAGATACAGTAACAGCTTCGCGTCTCGCCAGCCTAACCAGAAATTCCATCAAGATTAGTTTGAATGGCCCAGTAGCCTCTGTCTTGTGTGGCACGAAGTACATTGGCGCGACGAGTGCTCGGGGTCGGACACGAGTGATAAATAAAACGCCATCCCTGAGGCAAGGACTTCACTGGTTACGCAAGAAGTCCGAAAGGTCACGTATATTTCTTAGCGTTTAATGTTCGGCATTGATTTGAATGTAGTTCCCGCTCTTGCCATTTTTCTTTGGCAGGCGGCCGTACCACCCTATGGTTGATGCATAACGTTCACACATTGAAGGAAGGTGGTTCTCATTTTCATACCTCAATGTGCGGTGTCTGGAGAAGCTACTGCAAGGATAAGCGGCGAGATTGCTCAACGCTCTCCTCTTCCCGTCCAGGCAATTCCTCGAAGGTCTTACCGTTTCCACCGCATATTTTTCTCCATATGTTGGTCATCGCGATTACTTTGGTAAGGTAGCTGAATCGAGAATGATTGAATTTCAACAAGTGATGAAATTCCATTGAGAATTTGTAAAATTGGGGAATAGCCCTGTTTGCCTTTTCTTGGAACTTTTTCAAAGGCGGTTCGGAGGTTTGAAAGATCATAAATCTCCATAGTCACTGAATCTTAAGTCAGCGTAATAAACAACAGGAACGTTTTTCTCCCCTCCAGTTGTTTAATTTGCTTTGAAAAATGACCGAGTCGAATAATAGTAATAGGAACTCTTTCTAGGTAATGGAAGAAAGGCATAATTTAGGCCATCGCAACCGGTTTTGGAACATTGCTGTTCGGATCGAGGCTCAAGCTAGCTGCTCGTTATACAAAACGAGAAGCTGTTGCGATCGTTGCTACGGGCGCAATTTTAACGTTCACAACAATTGGTATGTCATTGGAAAATTTCAAACATATCGTTCCATCTGCTCTAAAATGGGGAGCGTATAGGAACATCGAGGAGAGTAGTGAAGAAGACGAAGAACATCCGGCTCCGTGCCCACCTCTTCGATTCCGCTGTCCTTCCTGCCCTAACCTACGCCTCAGAGACTTGGACTCTGCGCAGGCAGGACGAGCATGCGGTCAGCGTTATCCAACGCGCTGTCGAGAGGACGATGCTAGGAGTAACCCTATACACGCAAGTGCAGAGGGGAATCCGGAGTT